TAAAAAATAAATAAATAAATAAAAATAAAATAAAATAACTATATATATATATATATATATATATATATATATATATATATATATATATATATATATATATATATATATATATATATATATATATATATATATATATATATATATATAGTTTATTGCAATAAAAACTTACTTTGGCGTACAAATTTGAATTTGTTGGTACACTGACTAGACTGACTGACTCAAACACTGTTAAAGTGTGCATTTCCGTATTGAACATGACCTTGATCCTAATAAGAAAGATTTCCATATAAATGACTGGACTGCCATTAATAAGCCTCACGACTCTAACAAACTAGATTAAAGCCAAAAGTCCTGGCCCTCCAAATGAACCTTCAAGTGACGTCGACGTTTTACTGATCAACGCTAAACTTAATAAATTATTAAGGATATGTAAGGGGAATGTCTGACGAAGATTGTTGAAATATTTTTAGCGCTTTCACCAACATCGATAGAAAACAAGTTTACCAAATCTAAACATTTTACTACGGAAGACTTACAGGTATTTGGAAAGCAAATTTTATAGAAGCTGTATCCTCGAGATAAAGTAAGAATATGTTTGCTGTTAATGATTCAGTTAAGCACTGTTATAGGTTGTTAGCTGTCCAAGTTGCAGCAAAGTATGACAGCGTGTCGTAGAGACTTTGTAATTAAGTAAGCTTGACCAAATGCAATAAATTTTAGAAATGAATTTTATACATTTAAAAAAAATAGCAGTTCAGAGAGTGCCGACTAAATATTTACTTTCTGATATTGAATTTTTATGAAAATACTGGCAATAATTTCTCAGAGCGTTCGTTAAAAAAATTGCTACATGATGTTACAAGCCCTAAAGATAAAGAAATATGGCTTCGAAGAATAAAATCTGTGGTAGTCAATGTATGGGTGTGACCAAGAGACATCAACATCAGTCTGTGTTTCCTGCATTAATCTACCAAAACACCACCAGCTACGAAGTATATTTATTAATACTAAATTGCAGTTTTATAAATATTCTAGACAGCCTGCAATAATTACATAACTAATCAAGGATCAATTGCAACAGTAATTACATAAGGTTCATTTGATAGACTAATATGAAAACTTACAAAAAATTTGTAAAAGTTTATAATTAGTCGTTAAAGAGAAAGCTGCAATTAAACATTACTCCTGTTGCAAGTCTTTTGTAGATTTGTGTGTAATATGACGTTTATGTGATAATACTAAATTATTTAAATGGCCTCAATAATAAAGAAATGGGTTTTTGATGTTATACGTCATTTGAAAGTGAATTTTTACACACACACCTATTAGTGGGAAAAGGAACCACATTAAACGCTGAGTCTTTAGTCATTCGCCGACCTCTAATTATTTTCAAACTACGTATGAAGTACTGCTAGATTACTAAGTCTACAATAGGTATAGGCCAGTCCAGTATGAACGACGAATAACATGTATCGACTCAGAGAAGTGTTTATAAACTTCAGGATGTTGCTCATTAAGTTTGGATATTTGTTATAAGCTATGTGTCCCCATAACTTCAATGACATACAGTATCATTTGTTTGAACATCAGGGCTGAGGATACGTCAGCCGTCCGTCAGATCAATAAATTCTTGAATATCAGTGTTGGCAGAAGCTAAAGGTGTTGTCTTTTCATGATGTCATCAATCTCCACCAGAAAATGTCTTGTTTGGGGCCCTCACTGGGAAGGTCCGTGTCAAGTACTCTTATAGAAAACAAGGAATGGAGAGCAGCATAAACATCTGACAGCTTGAGTCACTATACTGTGCCTGGTAACATTGGAGTTGCTAGCAAATATCACTTCCACAAGCTCGCAAGAGAGTTCAGCTCAGTGAATTCTCTTGATGTTCCACCATTCTAATATGATCTTTCCATCAGAGTTGTTGATCGAAAGTTACGACATGAAATTGAACTTTGAATTTATAATTATGCAAAACAGATCTTATGAGTCCATATCAGTAATTGCTAAGAACATCACTGATTAAGCTTGTGGGAGATTTCCTTTCTGGACCATCTGATGAGGACAGACCAGAGTAACTTGCGAACCTCAATGGTGACACCTTCCAGTACAAAGTAGATTTGAATGAGGATACTCTGTATTTGGGTGTGAAAGGAACCGATAATTCATGAAATTTAGACAGTCTCTTTCTGATGTAAAACTCTGTATATTGATACGCCATACAAACACAATATCCTATGAAGTCACTTCGATCCATTTGATGTGTTTGTGGTGAGACAGCAAATTTGAGATTCAAAAAAAAAAAATAATTATTATTCGAAGCTCATATTTGTTTTGTAACATGGAACAAGACTATAGTATGTGACACCTTATGGTGTACCATATGTATTAGCTTTAATAATTTCGTAATGAAAAAACCTTCAGCATGTGAAATAAATTTTCAGTATGTTCCACTGAATACGTCCACTGTGACCGAGGGCCTGGTGCTGTGTGACAGGCTGTTGATTTTACTTATCACACCCTTGATTTTCCTGTTCTGTGCGCAAATAACAATATGTTTTTTGAAACCAGAAAAAAAGATAAAAAACGGAAATACAAAGACATTTGATGAGAGAGTAGCCATGTTAAAGACGTAGTGTTCTATTCTGATATTTAATAAAGGTTCAAAGATGACAAACTACATTGAGTCTACTAAATCATATACGGAGATTCGACAAATAAATTCTTTTGTCTGTCCAGTTCCCACTGTCCAATGCTGTTCCTAATACATACACACACACACACACACACACACACACACATATATATATATATATATATATATATATATATATATATATATATATATATATATATATATATATATATATATATATATATATATATATATATATATATATATATATGCCTCCTCAATATTACCATGTAATTCAATTGATAGTAGGAACATCATAGAATCTAGTCTTATTAAACATACCAAGCATCCAACATGAATTTGAGTAACGGCATGTACAAGCTGGACAATTTTGTAATTAAGAAGATTTGTGATCAGGTGAGAAGGCCGGGTCACTTGACCATCTGACCTGACCACCAACCGTTGTGTGCTATTTAAAGATTAGTAGGTCATTACCTAATACCTGACCATTGTGGACCTGGTCTCACCCTCCTCTGTATATATACACCTTGATTTGTATTACTCTCTCTAGTCTGTACTCACCCCTGAAGATGTGAATTACACGAAAGCGCTTGGGAACTTTGTGTTTTCTTCTTTCCTTGTGGTTATCAGCATATACCTAGATCACGCGCACCTACAGTGATTTACTTGCATATATATATATGTGTGTGTGTGTGTATGTATGTATGTATTAGAAACAGTATTTGTGTTTCCACCCGTCAACAGTATCCAGGAGGAAGCACAGACTGGAGCAGCATGGCGGTGGAAGGAGGCCGAGGTAACGTTCACTATGCTCTCGTATTTCCTCAGCTCAGGGATCTGACCTGAATAGCGCGTTTCCGACTCAATAACAGAACAATTAATTCCATAAATCGCAGTGCGCAGGACCGCACCCATCAAGGGTAATCGGCTTTCCCTGCTCTGTGACAGCTTGACTCTCTCGATTTCTTCTCCATCTCCAGAGTCGCTCCTGGCTCTTCTCGTATCGTGGATTATTATATACGCTGCTCTCTTCACCTTCTCCCATCACTCCTCTCCCCTACATTCTCAGCCCTCATCCCACGTCCCTACTTCCCTCCCTCTTACCGATCGTCCCGACCTCTCTCCCTTCATCCATTTCGCCCTTTCCTCTCCTCACCCCCCCCCCTCTTCTTCCCTCTTTCCCCTCACCCCTCTCTCCTGCATTCTTTCTTTTTATTCCCCATGTTTCCGATCTCCAGCTCCCCCTCTTTCTTTATTCTTTCCCCTCCACCCCCGTCTCCTCCCCTCTATCTTTTCTCATCCCTCTCCCCTTTACTCTCAAACCTCATATTTCTCTCCTACACTTTGTCTCTTCACCAGTCTCTCTTCGCCCCTCTCTCCTACGCACTTTCTTTCTATCAATTTTCTTCCATTCTTGTCACCTCGAAACTTTCTCATTATTTTCACCCATCTCTCTCTCTCTCTCTTATTCCACTCTCCCCTCGCCTCTGTCTTCACTCTTTTTTTCCTTACTTACCTTACCACTCCCCTCTTCATTCTTTATCTCTTAACACATCTCTCTGTTTCTTTCACCCTCTTTTTACAGTCTTTCTGCTCATCCACCTTTCCTTCGTTCCCTCATCTCATTCCTTTCTCCTTAACTCTCTTTCTTCGCTCCTTTCTACTTCATTGTCTCTCCCCTTACTCCTGTTGTCTCACCTTTCTTTCCTTCAATCTCATCCCCCTCCTTCCTTCACTCCCCTCACCCCTTTATGCTTCTCTTTCTTTATTCGTCCATTTCTCCCTTCTTCTTCACTTTCTTTCCCTTCTCCTCCCTCCTTCACTTTCTTCTATCAAACCTCTACATTGATTCCCATCTCCTCACCTTCCTTATTTCTCTTCTCTCTGCTTTCCTCTCTTTCCCAATCCTTCTTTTCAATCTCTCTCTCTCTCTCTCTTTATTTATTTTCCTTTATTATTACTCTTTTTCCCCAACCTGAACGTACTTGTTTTGCAGGTGAGTTGGGGACGAGGCGAGGGGGCGGGTCAGTAAAATCTGAAGCGCCGGGAGAAAGAATGAAAGAAACAATTTCTATTGATGAGTGAAAGAATAGGAACTTCAGTGCCAGAATTTTAAGTGAGAGGTGGAAAGTAGGGTAAACGTGAATATACGAGGTCCGTGACAACAATAACGAGACTAACCCTATAACTCGGAAACCAAGAGTTGGGGGGGAAGGGGGGAGGCAAACAGACGGTTATTGAACATGTTCTAACCTGCCACAGTGTGACAAGGCTCAACTCAATTGCTTCACTCAGTGCAAGTGGACGCGTGTTCAAGTATAGACGCGTTCTTACGCTCGGTCGGAAAATGTCGGACTGCAAAACTGGGCAACGAGTTAACATCGAGTGTCTCGTTAAACTTAAGAAATCCGCGACGGAAACTTTTCAATTATTGACTGAGGCTTACGGTGAAGGTTGCATGTCTCGTGCACGCGTTTTTGCATGGCACAAACGATTTTCGGAATGCAGAGAAACTGTGAAAGATGATGACCGCCCAAGTCGTCCACGCACAGCAGTTACCGATGACAACATTGAAAAAGTGCGAGATGTGGTTAGAAAAAACCGTAAGTTGGGTGTTCGAGCAATAGCTGAGAAAGTTAATTTAGACAGGGAAAGTGTTCGACGCATTCTAACGGAAGAATTGAACATGACAAAGGTTTGTGCAAAAATGGTTCCAAAAATGCTAACTGATGAACAACGCGCTAGCCCACAACGCTTTGTCTGTGCAGCAGTTTTTAGCCAATAAAAACTTCACTGTGCTTGAGCACCCACCCTATTCGCTAGACCTGGCTCCCTGCGACTTCTCTCTCTTCCCAAAAATCAAGTCCGTGCTCAAAGGAACCAATTTTTTGTTGGTAGAAGAGGTGAAAGCAAAAACGACGGAGCTCCTCAATAGCCTAACAGAACATGAAATGCGGAATTGCTTTGAACTGTGGCAGCAACGTATGCACCTGTGTGTCAACTCAGAAGGGAACTACTTTGAGGGCTCGTTTTTTTTTGTGTGTGTGTCGGACCTCGTATATGCACCTGGAAATAAAAATTACGATAAACAAAGAAGGAAAATTTAGTATTTCCACCAATAGTTGAGTGTGAACATGCTCAGCTCGCCGATCAACGTATCCGATGCTAGCTTTCCTCACAGTCACTCAGTCAATAGGGGCGACGTATGCAGGGATTATAATACTCCGCTCTGATCCAGTCAGTGCCAGCTTCCTATAGTTTTAAACGTAGCCCACCAGTGTGTCTTTATTCTACCTTGGTGTCTCTTTCTGCCTTACTTCCATTTTTTTTTTTTTGGGGGGGGGACTTTATTCCCACAAAAGGTTTCGAGTTTTAGTAATGGAAACTTGGAAAAGGTGTCATGGAGAAACATCAGTTTGTATGTGATAATGAATGTTTTTAGGCCAGTCAAGGCTGGTGAGCGTCAGGCTAATGACCGCCGTGCATTAAACTTGAGTACGTCGACCATTAGAACAGTTCTCAAGAATGCAGACAAGATAAAAGCCCCTGCCCGGTTCACCACTTTGTTAACTGTAACAAAGTTAACACCTTCATGGAAAAGTTTGCTGGAAAAGATGGAGTGCTGGTTAAGCATTTATCTCAAATATCAGACATAGCGTGGTATGCCTTTAAGGCTGTCAATTTCCATGAAGACGACGAGGAAGATTCTTTGCTTACCCACCTGTACAAGAACAAGAAGTTGAGGGATCGACGACGGAAACGTATTCAACCAGTCATGGATGGTTCAACATTTCAAAGCATCTCACTAACTTACACAACATCTGCATCAAGGAAGCTACTGGCTGGACATTCAGACAGCCCATCAAATCCCGAAGACGCTCAGGGCTATCAACAAGTGAGCCAACTACCCCCTCCAGCTTTAGTTCAATATAGAAGAATCTTTATTGGAAGCACCCACCACAACAAGTTTTCATTTTCTGAGCAGCGTTCAGGGTTGAAAGCTACCAAAGATCACCTTACGAACCTGCTAAGCAGTAATACGTCGGGTGACTTCAAGCTTGTCTACAAAACCGACACACCCAGAGCGATAATTTTCGTTATCCTTAAAATTATGCCAAGTCATGAACTAAATGAATCCAAAATTGATGAAAGAATATTATTGCCAAAGCATTTGTCACTACTTGTCCAAATTCCGCCTTCCTTGCTCCAAAACTGCTTGAAATATCGCTCAGAGAAGTAAGCAAGCAGGCAAAAAAGTAAACAAACAAACAGTGCAACCAATCGGAACTCATCCTCGTGGCACGCTCTTCGCATGGCATCTGGCAGTATGGGGGCGGGGGCTGTGTATGATAGATATACAGTAACTTTGATGCGTTTAGCGTTCAGCTCAGATTCTCATCCTGGGCGAGAACCAATGTAATCAGTTACAGTAGTAAGAATGAATGTAAAGCTCCAATTGAATAGTCTGTCTTTGGTCTCATTTTCTGTCACCTTAAACTATAGCAATAAACGGCTTTCAAGGGAGTAATAATAATAATAATAATAATAATAATAATAATAATAATAATAATAACATTATTATTATTATTATTATTATTATTTAATCTTCAGATTTGTACTGTATTTTAGATGCATTCCAGGGTGTTCACTTTCCCACATTGAGTCCATTCGTTTATTTACATTATTCACTATTGTCCGTACACTTGCTAGGACCTCTGATTCCTGTTCACCAACACCCATGTGGGTTGGATAAGAATGGAATTGATCGATAAACATTCCGACATCAAGTGTAATACTCACTGTATTAAGGACATACAGCAAATCCAAAAAGCATCGAGGCTCTAGGCGTCCGAAAGAATATGAAACATCTGTTGAAAACCAATGCAACCCACTCGATACATGAAAGCGTCCGAGGTTATCGCTCGTTACATATTCCACCAAACTACTTGTTAGGTAATGGTGTTAGGTAAGCTAGTCGGCTCGTATGTTAACCGTGTTAACTAATTTTATTATTATTAGATGGTCGACGTATACAATCATGTAAGTTGTTCAAGAACTGTCTTAATTTGTCGACACATAAGTTGATGATATGTAAAATTATCGAGATATAAGTTAATGGTGTCAAGTAAGATGATCGACACGTAAATGAATATTATTGTCAGGTTAGTCGGTCGACATATACCTTAAAGGTGTTATGTTAGTTGGTCGACTTAAGTGTCAAGTAAGGAGGTAGACACATAAGCTGGAGGGCGGCTGCTCGCCATATCAGCAGCAGTCAGGCCCCGCGCTCTGTAAAACATCAGGATCCACAATGTTGGTGTCAGACACCACATGTTAATGGGAACAGCAGCTACAGCATATAGCACGAAATATATCCCTTGGTAGTACGTATACTATTGCTGGTTCTCTTATGCTCATTTAAAGAACATATTGACAGATAAAGAAATTTCCTTTTTTTTTTCGGAAAGGACTGAAGTTACGAACTTATGAAGTGAAAAATAAAAATAAAAATTGATAATTATGAAGTTGGTTACATAGTTACGTATAATATTTGTAAATAAGCTGCCATCTCTCTCCAACAAACCTTTCTTCATCATCATAATCCAAAGATAACCTATTCACCAATAAGGAGGCCACATATTTAATCTTAAGATCGAACATGACCTAATCTATCCAGACAGAGTAAAATCTGACCTGTAGTTATGGCGTTTCCGCATCTATTTATAAATTTATATGGACAATTAAAAATAAGTAAGTGGAGCAACTGCTATTAGTCATTCTACCTCCATACACACTCTTCTCCTTACCCCCATATCTTTCTCTTTAGTTGACTACACACTCTACTTACTCTTGGATATCCACCTCCTCATTCTACACGCGCCTTTTACCAACATTACATATTGTACGAGCTTCACATAACTTTCTCCCTACCACCAAAAACTCTTCTCCCCATCATCACACTCTTCCTCTCCCTACCATATTATACGCTCCCACACCATAATATAACCTCCCCTACCATTATATACCCTCCTCCACCGTAATAATCCGTGCCCTACCATTATATATCCTTCCCACCATCATAAATGCTTCCCACACCATAGAATGCTGTTATTCCCACCACTACAACCTTCCCCATACCTATCATATAATTCCATCATAACGCTCTCCCTACTATCACCTAACTCTCTGACCACCATTATTTCCTTTTCCTCGCCATGCCACCAACACACTCTTCATCCCACCGTCACATATCTGCTCCCCACCAACACACTCTTCATCCCACCGTCACATATCTGCTCCCCACCAACACACTCTTCATCCCACCAATACACTCATGGAGAAAATGGTGATAGTGTTCAATAACTGGTTGAAGCACATCATTTGAAGCAATTTAAAGGCGTGACGGTGTTAGATTTAGATTTATGTCCAATGATTATGGAGGATGCGAAAGACAGTGAATAAGCAAAACTAATAGCAAATTTAAGGCAGGGACCGCTAATATAGTGCTCCCGCCGAAGTTACAAGGTTGAGACGGGAAGTATAAGTCTCTATTACTCTTTCTCCGACACCTCTATTGCAATTTTATCTTGTTTCATCTTTATATAAAATCTGTTCATTATGGAACTGTCAAATACCCACGCCCTCTTTCTCCCGCCTTGGCTGTGTGATTGACAAGATAAAAAACAAATAATTAATGAAGTGCTACTAATTAATTAAAATTTGCTTTCATTAAGGACGTTGCCACATAATCCAATCACAAAACCATACGTCATATTGAACAGACTACTTCTTGGGATAACTTCAACTCCACTTTCTCGTAGTATCCTTACACACATCGCACTACCTTCTACACATATAGTTCATAAGGGACGTACTAATTTCCTAAGGCACACTAGACCATCATCATGCAATGTTGGACCCAGTTCGCCCTACAATGCCAACGGATGACAAGGGAACAGAGAGGCAGTTTCAAGTTCTTTCCATGGGTCTTACACAACTTGGAATAACTGCTTTTTTTTGTCAATTCGTTTACCAACAATGCAGTCTCACTTCCTTTCAGAATTCTAACTGTAATCTGCATCAGTTTCCATTTCAGGGGTGAAGTAAGTTCCCGCTGTAGCTTTAACACACCTGTTGTACGCCACTTGGACTTCGAATCTCCTTACTTTGACATTCTATGTTGTCAAATCAATTTCCAATCTACCACATTTTTAATTTGTAACTCCTACTATTTTAACTCTGCAAACTTCATGTACTTTAGCTACTGTATGTTAGCTCCTGCCACAGCACGCTACATCCTCCCACCTACAGGCTGAGTTACTCTAATTAGGGGACTACGAGTGGTTGAAACCATCCCACACAGATTGACGAGGCTTGAAACCCCCTTATTCCCAATACATACTATCTGGAGTAAATTAACATCACCTGTGTCAAGTTTCAAAACATCACAAAAATGCTTCTAACACTATTTTCTTTCGTGTAAGGAAACACTTCTCACTAATAAAGTTATTCTTGGAGACCAATTTGATAGCGAATATGACAATATTTTGGTTAATGGTGAGACATTTGTTATAGAACGTTAATTTTAAAAGTTTATTGTGTACTTAATTTTTAGTTTTAAAAATTGGAAGGAAAAATTTATATTAATGTAATTGGGATGCATTGTTAAAGATACCCTATACTGTGTGGAGTCTGTATGCTTCAGCAGGCAAACATGCCCTGCTGCTGCAAATGCTTCATAATATACTTGTTACTTCTATGTAAGATTCATATAAAATTTTGGAG